ATGCGTGATTTCTTTCATGTTGAGCATTTTAGCGCATAGCCTTGTTGGTGGATGATGCAATGGTGATTCAGAAAGCATCGTCCTGCCTACACTTGGCAATAAATCCATTCAAGTGACCAATCATTGGGCTCAGGATGGTTCTGGTTCTTTGGCAGAGGAAAACCAGCATCTTTGTCTGTCTGCTGCAGGATCTCCAGTTGATGGGATGATGGTGCCACCAGCAGACAGCAGCGCCTTCAGCCCGCTGGTGGTTCTGGAGCTGCTTCCTGATACCAAGCAGGAGGCCATCACATGGCTGCTGGGCAGGATCCGAGAGCCGCAGGAGACTGGAGGTCTGTCCGTCTGACACGCTGTCCGTCTGTCCGCTCTGTCCGTCTTTTTGCTCTGTCTGTCCTTCTGCTCTGTCTCTCATTCCGTCTGTCTCTCATTCCGCTCTTTCCATAGTCCTGCTCTCTCCAGTTGCTGGCCTCCATAGATCCAGTCATATCTTCTCCTCTCCAGGTGCCGGCTTACTGGTGGAGCAGCTGGGTCCTGGACTGGGAGCTGTGGAGAAGGAGAATCCCAACTTGTTTCTGGTAGGCGCCTCCAGGGAGCGGCTGCTGTCTGGTGCTGAGGATGTTGGCCTCTTCAAGGAGTACAGCGACGGCTCCATGCGAGGCTTCACCTGCTCCAACAAACAGCACTTCAAGGACTTCCAAGGTGCTTCTTCTGGGTTTAGATGATGTATTGGAACAAAGATCCAGTCAGATGTTCCTCAGATGTTCTGCGTCCAGCAGCCTGTTTCACTGGGTGTTGTTCAGTAGAGACACGGGGCCTCCTGTTAGCATCATGTTCATCAGGGCGCCTCCATTCGAGGTGGACCTCCATGTCCTGGTGGGTCTGAGGGTGGGTCATCCTCCAATGTCTAGATGTTCTGGCAGCAAACGGAATGGAAACCTGACCAATGTTGCTGTCTAGGTCTTCTAGTTTTCAGTTTAACAAAGTCTAAAGCCAGAATATCTGCAGATGGACCCCCGTTAGCCCCCTGAAGGTTTACTGCATTTTATTTAGAGGCATCAGAGTTTAATGTTCACAGAAACAATCACAGTGAACTATTAATTACATTTTTTAAAACAAAATTCTTCTTTGTTTACATTCCTGTGTACAAAATGACAGATGATTATTTGCGGCACTAGTGGCTTAATTTTTGGACAGTAGGCTGACAGGAGAGGGGGGGATGAGAGAGGGGGAGGGACATGCAGGAAAGGACCACAGGTCGGATTCGAACCCGGGTCGAGGACTAAGGCCTCCATACATTGGTTGTAAGTTCTAACCCCTGCACCACCTGCCCGCCCAGCTTGGACTGCTCTTGGTGGTGGTGTGTCTGATTAGATCCCAGGAAATACTCTGAAGAAGAATGAATGAATGAATGAATGAATGAATGAATGAATGAATGAATGAATGAATGAATGAATGAATGAATGCATCAGTCAACGAATCAATCAATAGCTACGTTTACATGGAGGAAGTATTAGCAATAAAATCGGATTAAACGGGCTGTGAACAAGACGCATCTTTAGTCTGATTTCCTGCATCATCACGTCAGCGGGATCCTAAAATGATGCGCTTGGAAGCAGAGCTGGTGAATGAATGAATGGATGAATGAATGAATGAATGAATGAATGAATGAATGAATGAATGAATGAATGAATGAATGAATGAATGGACGAATGGACGAATGAATGAATGAATGAATGGATGAATGACGGGTGTTTGGTTTGTGTCCTGAGGGACATGTAGAGGACCTCCATCAATGCTGAGGAACTGTTCTGTTTCTCACTGATGTCTTTGTCTCCAGGGGACGGAGACGGCTTTCTGAGCATGGCTGAGTGTCAGCACATCATCAAACATGAGCTGGACACGCTGCGGGCCAAAGACGAGACGCACGTCCCAGGATACAGCCACGCCAAGCTTTACCCGGGGAAATCCATCAGTGAGTGTCCACCAGGTCTCCGTTTCCTCAGCTTGTCACGTAAACACCAGACCCACGCTGCGCTTCTAGCACTGATAGGAGGCTGACCCTTCAGAAGACCTTTATGTCTCTCTGCATATCTGAATTGGTTTCCTAATAAGGTTCATTTCACCAGATGAGGAATCTTAAACCTTTAGATTTCATTTTGAGCTCCACCTCCTGCCTTAATGAAGTCAGTTGAGTGGAGCCGGTGCTAATCAGTCCTCCAGGGAAGAGCTGTGGACACCTGATGACCATCCAGCTGTCCTCTCTGTGGTGGACGATTAGGACAATTTAGATCTAAGCTGCCGTTTCCTTCTGTGGGAGGGTCAGGTCCAATCGGACCCGTCATAAATGCTCCTGGTGGTGTTTGTGGGTTGGATTGATGGAGCCTTTTGTTGTGCATGGCCTCTGTGATTGGTCTTTTGAATCATGAGGCTGGTGTTATTTCTTTGGAACGACCTGGAATGAATTATAAATGCCTGGAAACTGAAACCTCTTTTCTCCTCCATGTTGTAGAAAAATATAAAACATTGTAATTTTCCTTAGATAGAAAACTTTGAATCAACCTGACTGGATGATCTGGTGAACTGGAAACTGACCAGAGATGACATGATGTGAATTGGAGCTATAGAAATAAACTGAATTGAAATTGAATTAATTCCGTATGTCAGGATTTTCGCCAAACACACCAGAGGGATGAATTTAAAACGTAACAATCCACTCAGACAGAAAGTGGCTGAAGAGCCAAAGCTAAGTGGAGCGGCGCTGTGCGTGGGATCCAGAGCAGTGAGGACCGCCCAGCAGAGGACAGCCAGCAGCTGCAGGGGAGCTTCACATGGACACCTGGACTTCAATAACACGCCTATGAAGACTGAAACATGCAGATGTTGGTCAGAGAGCACAGATGGTTTGAAAGAGGGGTGAAGGAGGAAGCCATCTTTGTGAAAAGAGAAAAGCCTGAACAGCGGGGGAGGCTTCAGCTTCCAAGCATCAACCGTTCAGTTATGGAAGCTATTCCCAGTCATTTACGGATTACTCCCATTATGGTTCATTAGACCGATACAGGGGAATCAGAGACTTTTCATTGTTTCAGGCTTCAGTCCCTGTTTCCTCATTACATTGCTTACTGGGAAATACCCTAGAGATTGATAACCTTCCACCTAAACATTAAAATCTGCACCCTATTTCCCTATCGGCAAGAATATCAGCTTCATTACTGGACCAACCTGTTTATACATCTCTAATTATAAGACATTCTGTGACCTCATGAAAGCGCTCAACCCGCTTTAACGAGACCAAGAGGGATGAAGCCGTAAACATTCATTCCTTCCCGCTGAGCTGTAATTGAACAATCAGATACAAAAATAAATCTAACAATAATCCCAGTTATTATTGTGTCATTATGACTAATGCTAATGCTAATTAGCATTTAGAATGCATTTAATGCTAATTGCTCTTGTTGCTGCCTTTGTTCTGTTGTTTATCTATTTGTCCCATTCTATTTACCCAGTCATCTTTATTTGCTGCAATGGTGATGAGAGTAAATGCTTTTAGTTTTTCTTCAAAACTAAGAGGGGCGGGGGGGCGTTGGAGGAGTTATTATTATTATTGACAATATATAGCCTGGCTAGACCTGACCGTGGAGGGGGCTGAAGTCCCTGTTCCAGGCTGCACATCCTGACAGCTCTTCCCACCGGAGGCCAGACGGCGCCGTGCCTACCATAGCGCATCACAGACGTTACACACCCATCCCGTCCAACCAGGAGGGGACAAAACAGAAAAAAAACTAAGACTAAGGGGGCTGGATGTCCTTTGGGGTCACCCTCCGGTCAGATAGTGACCCGGAGATGAAAACCAGCCAAACACTTTGACCACTTTACTCCGTCAAAGTATCTTCTAACCCACTGCCATTGTTATTTGACATCTTAGTCCGCAGATTGCTGTCCAAAGGGATCCTGATCCAGATGTTTCCACTCCACCAGCCAGAGGAGCTCAAGAGACTTTCCTTTTCCTGGTATAAAAAAGTCAAGCTGTCGCTTCAGCCTCTCGGTAAGTGAAGCCGATGTTCTATTCCCTTCAATATAATAGGGTTTATTTATGTTGCTCTGATTTACTTCTAAAGTAAGTAAAAATCCATATAATGTAGAAAAATGATGATGGTCAGTTCATTATTCAAATAGGTGAAAATGTTTCTCCTTAAGGAAAACCAGCAGATCTGACCAAGTCGTTGACTTGGAGCAGATTTTATTTACAAGGAGTATATCTGACTGAGTCATTAAATAGGAGCAGATCACATTGAGTCATTGCAGATGTCATCTGGCTCTTGACTAGGAGCAGATTGTGTTTAGTCAGTGACTAGGAGAGGAATCGGACTAGTCGCTGACTAAGAGCAGATCGGATGAAATCATTTATTGGGAGCAGATTGCATCAAGATGTTGACTAGAAGCAGGTCCGACACAAATGTAAATATATCACAATATCAGAGAGTCTTTGACTAGGAGTGGATCAGACAGAATTGTTGAATAGGACACGGTTGCATCGTTTTGTTGACTGGGAGTCGATCAGATCAAGTAATTTACTAGGAGCTAATTTCATTGTGTGTTTGACTAAGACCAGATTGGACCAAGTTGTTGACTAGGATTGAAAGAAACAATCGAGTGGCAACAAATTGGACAGAGATGTTGATTAGTAGCAGACTGCATCGAATCATTGACTAGGAGACTTTCTGGACAGGTCTCCCTTCTGGTCTAAGCTGGAGAATCAGCCTCTGTTGGTTGAACTGTAAAGAGACGAGTGGAATGCCCTCCTAGCAATGCTGCTGCCTCATTCCTCCAGCTGCGTGCTCCACGACATGTTTATGGGTGTAATCACTGACTGACGCAAGTCTGTAAGACCCGTTTCAGCTGATTCAAACAACTAGTGCATCACTTGTAAAACCAGTCAGAGGAGCACCGGCTGGTTTAAACCTCTCCTATATGGATTGGTGTATCATTTAAAGTATGTAGGAACATGTTGATGGTAAAGTCTTCACTCAGTGAAGGATGCTTTTCCTGTCCAGTTTTCACACCTGCTCCTGTCTCCATTTCCTCTCCAGATGACATCAGACGGTACTATGGCGAGGGCCAGGCGCTCTACTTTGGCTTCCTGGAGTACTTCACCTTTGCCCTGGTTCCTATGGCTCTGTTTGGAGTTCCTTACTACCTGTTTGACTGGGAGGATTATGACAAATATGTAGTCTTTGCTGGTTTCAACGTCATCTGGTGCACCATCATCCTGGAGGTATGAGTCCCTGTGACTGCAGCACGTCCTAAACAGCAAGTTATCCACATCTGGTTTTCAAATGTCATTGCTTCTAATTTAAATCTAGCTCTATGAAATGTTTCAGTCCGCAAATTTTATGATTTATCGCCTCCTTTTTTTCTGGCGTTAGTGTTTTGTTCCGCTGCACAGCGCAGGATTGGAACAGTTTGAATAACCGGCCTGACGAGCTTTGGGCAGCAGAGGTTCCCAACCTGAG